ACCTTCCTGTGCCACTCCCCCGTCTGCCTCGTGGGCCCCGTCCTTTCCCTGCCGGCTCCTCCTCCTCCTCCTCTTCCTCATCCGCCCCTTCCTCCACCTCCTCTTCCTCCACGTCGTCCTCCTCCTCCTCATCCTCCTCCTCCTCATCATCATCCTCCTCCTCTCCTCCTCCTCCTCCTCCTCCTCCTCCTCCTCCTCCTCCTCCTCCTCCTCCTCCTCCTCCTCCTCATCCTCCTCCTCCTCCTCCTCCTCCTCCTCACTCTTTTCCTCCTCAGGCTCGTCATCCCCCTCATCGTCCTCCTCCTCGTCCTCATCCTCATCCTCATCGTCCTCCTTCTCCTTCCCCTCGTCGCCATCCTCCTCCTCCTCCTCCTCCTCCTCCTCCTCCTCCTCCTCCTCCTCATCATTGTCGCCCTCCTGCTCATCCTCGTCCTTTTCTTCCTCCCCTGCATCCTCGTCCTCCTCCTCCGCATCCTCCTCGGCCTCCTCCTCTCCATCCCCCTCGTCCTCAACATCCGCTTCACCGGGGCCTTCTTTGCCGCGCTTCGGCCTCTTCCCCCCCGAAGCTTGCTTGGCCCTCCGTCCGCTAGATGGTTTCCTCGGGTCGGGTCGGCCCTTATGCCGCAATGCTTGATCTGTCGCCAAGCCACTTGGCTCCGTGGTGCCTCGCGTTGTCCCAACTTCAGCACCACCGGCGTCGTCACCGCTGGCTGTCGTCTGCCTCCTCTTTGCGCGTATGGGGATGTCCTCGGCCACGGGGGTGTCATACTCCTCCTCCCCATCGCTCTTCCTCTGCCTACGCCTCCCGCGTCCCCCAGAGGGAGGAGATCCACCGACGTCGGCAATGTCGTGTTTCGGCTCCTCCGTGCAATCGTGCGCAGCATCCTTCTCCTTATCTATCATTGCAGCAGATACTTTGACCACGGGCGGGGGAAGCAGCGTCAGATGCTGCTGTGATGCCTCAGCCTCGGACACCACAGTAGCGGCCTGGTCGTCGCCGGGCGAGTCGCCGTGCTTTCCTCCACTCGCCAAGCCCTCTCTGTCCCCCGGCCGGACGGCAACACTCACGCCGCCACGCCCAGGGTCTTCGTTCCCGCCGATGGTGCCGTCGTCGGAAGGACCGGGCTCGAGGGCAGCAGTGGCAACACCCGCATCGCTCTTCACGGCCGAAACACGCTTGCGTGCCGTTGGTTGCTTCCCCTTGTCCTCCGCCTTCTTCCCGGACTTCTTCTTTCCCACCTCAGCCTTTTTCCCCGCCGCACGTTTCCTTTGATTGGTTTGCGCGGCGGCCGCTTTAGTAGCCCTAGATCTGGCCCCACCCTCATGGTCGGTCTGAAGCAATATCCTCCGTGTCGTGCGTCATTTTGCCTGCTCCTTCTCCTTTTCTGTTTGCTGAGTAGCACGTGTCATGAGGGTTGTACGAATGCAAGGTAAAACTTGCGGGATTGTGTAGCCGGTTTAGAAAATAACCGGAAAGGATTGTTACTAATTGACCCCGTCCCGGTCAATCCAGTACTATCTCACCCTAAATCTCAGGTACAAGTAGAACTGAATTAGTAGCTACTAAGCACATAGCGTCAGCCATTTGCTTCGTCACTACTCTGACTCACTGGCGATCTGGAAACACCTGTGTTCAGCATCGAGCGGCGTCAAGGTAGTGGGTATGAGGGTGACGGAAGATGGTGAGTGGGGCACGACGGTGGATGGGGTGGTTTGCGAGTCTAGAGAGGGGACTGTAAGCAGACCAGGCACAATCCGACGGTCTGCGATTAACCTACTTGATCAAAACCCCACTAAACGCTTGATCACAGTCGCTGCTTCCGCAGCGAATGTCCAGCTTGGCTGGTGCGGTCGTGGGGAGGGTCGTTTGAGCTGCGTCGGCCAATCAGCGCCAACGCATCAATCTCCGCAGAATCTAGTACCGTTTCGACACCACCAATCAGCACATCCTGCAAAATACAGTGCCTATGGGCATTGATCAAATTTTAACATAGGAGCAGAATACTCTTGCAAAGTACAACTAAGACAATTTCAACTGAATGGCCGCTTATAGTGTCATACTGTGTAAAGGTTAGTGAGTGCATTTGGCTTCGGACACGCGGTTTGAGCTTCCAACTCGTAGACTATGGAATGCTATACTGAGCACACTTTCAGGGATGTCGACGGATACTGGTCGTTGGAACTTGTTCAGGCACGACGTGTACTAGTGCCAACTGGAATGGAGGTGTGGAATGGTGTTGGATGGGGCTCAATTCGTGTGTGGGCCCTCGACATGGTGCATTGAGGGTGTGGTATGAAGCAGAGGTCGAACGCACGAGCGATGATGCGTTATCGACCTCGCTGTTCCAACGCGGCGACGCTGCAGCGTTCGCAGTCATCCAAGGCTTGCGTGACATGGTGAAACTGTTGTGTAATGGTGTTGGATGGGGATCCATTCGTGTGTGGGCCCTCGACATGGTGCATTGAGGGTGTGGTATGAAGCAGAGGTCGAACGCACGAGCGATGATGCGTTATCGACCTCGCTGTTCCAACGCGGCGACGCTGCAGCGTTCGCAGTCATCCAAGGCTTGCGCGACATGGTGAAACTGTTGTGTAATGGTGAGGGATGAGGCTCAATTCTTGCGTGGACCCTCGACAAGGTGCATGGAGGTTGTGGTATGAAGCACAGGCCCAACGCACGAGCGGAGATGCGTTAACGACATAGCGGTTCCCACTGTGCGATGTTGCTGCGTGCACGGCCAGGGCTTGCGCGACATGGTGAAACCGTTGTGTAATGGTGTGGGATGAGGCTCAATTCTTGCGTGGACCCTCGACAAGGTGCATGGAGGTTGTGGTATGAAGCACAGGCCCAACGCACGAGCGGAGATGCGTTAACGACACAGCGGTTCCCACTGTGCGATGTTGCTGCGTGCACGGCCAGGGCTTGCGCGACATGGTGAAACCGTTGTGTAATGGTGTGGGATGAGGCTCAATTCTTGCGTGGACCCTCGACAAGGTGCATGGAGGTTGTGGTATGAAGCACAGGCCCAACGCACGAGCGGAGATGCGTTAACGACACAGCGGTTCCCACTGTGCGATGTTGCTGCGTGCACGGCCAGGGCTTGCGCGACATGGTGAAACCGTTGTGTAATGGTGTGGGATGAGGCTCAATTCTTGCGTGGACCCTCGACAAGGTGCGTGGAGGTTGTGGTATGAAGCACAGGCCCAACGCAATGAGCGGAGATGCGTTAACGACATAGCGGTTCCCACTGTGCGATGTTGCTGCGTGCACGGCCAGGGCTTGCGCGACATGGTGAAACCGTTGTGTAATGGTGTGGGATGAGGCTCAATTCTTGCGTGGACCCTCGACAAGGTGCGTGGAGGTTGTGGTATGAAGCACAGGCCCAACGCACAAGCGGAGATGCGTTAACGACATAGCGGTTCCCACTGTGCGATGTTGCTGCGTGCACGGCCAGGGCTTGCGCGACATGGTGAAACCGTTGTGTAATGGTGAGGGACGAGTCTCAATTCTTGCGTGGACCCTCGACAAGGTGCATGGAGGTTGTGGTATGAAGCACAGGCCCAACGCATGAGTGGAGAAGCGTTAACGACATAGCGGTTCCCACTGTGCGATGTTGCTGCGTGCACGGCCAGGGCTTGCGCGACATGGTGAAACCGTTGTGTAATGGTGTGGGATGAGGCTCAATTCTTGCGTGGACCCTCGACAAGGTGCATGGAGGTTGTGGTATGAAGCACAGGCCCAACGCACGAGCGGAGATGCGTTATCATTAGGGCACGCCGTTCTTGTGTACTTCCCGTATGTCCGTATGTTTCTAGAGCACACTAGAGTTCTTGGACGGGTTGTAAACTGTCACGTTGTCAAGTAGGGTTGGATCATGAGCTGGCTTCTTCTTATGATTGTACAATATACATCAACAAAGACTTGTGTGTATTGATAAGCTGTAAATGTACTATGTAATCTATGTTCTGTATATTGGCTCTTGACGTGCGCACAATTTGAGGACTCTAACATGACCGCGACATCCCTCCTACAACGCTTCGCGACCGAATCACAGATCCAAACGGATCTCTTCCCGCTCTTCCTCATCCCACTCGACTCTCACGCACCCCAGTTCTTGAATCAACAGGCACGTCCTTCTCACCGTGCTCGCAACGCAGACACACGACCCTACGTCTTAAGATCCAGCGCATTATCCTATGGTCACGTCGTGGGCGGTCTAAACGGGGGCGACACGCCTTGTAGGGAAGACGATCCGAGCTATGAGCGGCCTGTATCGTGCCTTGCCTCGTCACGCGGCTCGAACATCGTTAGCCAGTCCCAAACGTGAGCGGCCCGCTCAAGTGCCAGTCGTGCAGTGATACAAGCCGCCTTCGACAGTGCGCGGTTTGGCGATCACTGACCGTGTTGCAGCCACAGCGTTCCTGCCTGGTGTACTTAATGCGTTCACAAGCTTCCCACGACGCTCGTTGCTTCACAGTCCACATCTAGACACTTAGACGGATCCGTAGCACATGGGCTCTTTGCCAGGCGTCGTTTGCGAGTTCTGCAACAGATGGTTCCCCAACGCCCAAGTTTATGGCGGTCATAAGTCACGGCGGACCCCTTGTCAAGGGCTTTCCGCCGTGGCAAGGCCCTCGCAATATGCACCGTCCACCGGTCTACACGCTCTGCTATTCGTCCACGACATTCTGTCGGACGCTCCAGCCGCTCCCGCTACACCAACCACGTCTAACGCATCCACCGCCGTCGGTGAGAGCGGTCCTCCAACCGTGCCTGAAGCTCGCGTTGACGATACTCCCACGGGTGTGAACGATGTGCCTCCTGAAGATGAAGAACATCATCAACCTGGAACACCTGCGGCTGACACGAGTGGCCATCCTGAGAGCCGCCCCGAAGGTAGTAATGCCGCGCCGCCAACAATCAGCACCAGACAGAGCGATGCCACGCCCCTCAACCCGCTCGCGCTGAAACTGCTGCATTTCGTTCGAGCGGAATGGGAATGGCCGAGGTTGACATCAACGGCCTGCTCCAGCTCATGGTGGAGCCCGGCCTTGCGCCTCTTGTGGCCTCGGAGCTCCGGAACTGTAAGGATCTGGAGCAGTTCGAGTTGGAGCGCTTGGCAGGGCTCAATCGCGGATGGTCAGTGGCGACCTTCGAGATTGAGGGTCATCCACCACAGCGCCTGCTCTTCCAAGGCTCTGCCCAGGTAAGCTGTCTCTTAATTATGGGCTGTGAAATGCTGCTGTGGCAAACGGTGTTAGCATATATTGTATTCGCCGTACTCCCGCTTTCTCCGCCACTAACCATGCCCCTCCTTTCCCCTGCCTTCGCCACCATGCACCAGGCATTCGCTGAAATGCTTGGGCATCCCAACAACGCGCCTGGCTTCAAGCTGAAGGCACGTGTTGACGAGGACCCTGACACGGGCGACCGTCGATATACCACGCCCGAAACAGGAACGTGGTGGAATGCCGCTCAGGTAAGGAAATGCCTCGTTGCCACACCAATCCCAATCCGTGCTCATGCCTCCATCGATGCACCGACGTGTCCTGAACATCTTTTCAGTGTTTGACCGTGTGTCCGTTGCCGCTTTGTCGTGCACTGCAGGAACACTTCGGATGTTCCGAAGTTGTGGGGGGGATCATCCTGTATTCGGATGTGACGCACATGAGCAACAACGGCCGGAAGAAGGCGTGGCCGCTCATGATGACGCTCGCCAATATCGCCCAGGCCAAGCGTTGGGGGAAAGCCGGGCACACACTTCTTGCCCTCCTTCCTATCCCTCCGTCTGCAATGTCTGCCGTGGAGAAGTTTATGCTCTTCCAGAGATGCGTCATCACCGTGCTGCAGCCGCTTCTTGATGGCATGGCAAGGTTCGTACTCATGCGGCATCTTGCTGTGTCGTCATCCTGCCACCTGCAGAGTATGCAAAGTGTCTCTGTATGTTGCCTACCCCAATGCCCATCTGTGTTCCTCCCTTAAAACCGTCCTCCGAATTCCTGTTGCCACTCTGCATGTCCCATGCAGCGGGTTCCGTCTCAAGGACCCTTTTGGTGATAGGCAAACCGTGCGGCCCCTGCTGTACGCCTGGGTGTGTGACTACCCTGAGAGCGGCAAGATCAGTTGCACACTCTCGCATGGGTCGCGGATGCCGTGCAGCATCTGCTATGCTGCAAAGGTTAGTAAACATCGAATGCGCACGCATTTGTATACAATTTGGTTTTAATGTGGCCTGATACTACACTCAGTTACCACCCTTACCTTCATATCCCACCCCCTCACCCCCGTGCTACACCAGTAGCATCTGGGGGCTGTCAAGGCACGGAACACGCCACGCACGCCTGAACAGCAGCAATGGATCGTCAACGAGGCGGTTGGGACGACAAATAGCCAGGACAACCCGTGCAAGACCTACTCTACCTACCCTGTTGAGGTGAGTGACGGGTTCCTGCGGCTATTGTGCTGTCTATGCATTCGCCCGGCCCACCATGAATTGCTGGATATGCTCTGCCCCATTGAACTCACCCCACCTGTGGTTTATCCCAACCCACATGTACATTTCTCCTTCATTCCCTTTTGCATCCCCATTTCCAGTGCGTGCTCTGGAAGTGGGATGTCCCAGGGACCGTGTGGGGCAATCCCTACCTCGTTATCATGCCTGACATCATGCACCAGGCGGACCTGGGCATCATGAGCCACATTGTGGCTGTCGTGCGCAAGATGAAGAAGCGGCGTGTGAAGCAGATGGACAGGTCAGTGTTTTGGTCTGTGGATTCGTTGCTCTTTGTCACATTTACACAAAGTACAAGTGCTGAGCTCTCCCTGAGATGGTTCTGCCCTTGCGTTGAACTGATGTATATGGGCAGGCGCCTGTCGCTCATTCGCGATTGCACGCGCCTGCCGGAGAGCGCCTACTTTGAGACCGGAGCCTGCGTTGCGGCCTATGAGCACAGGGTCGTCATGCAGGTATGATAGCCCTGAATGGCCATGTCTTGAGCAGTAGGCTGCACCCTCTACACACAGCACCGGTAACCCATGTTAAACCCACACACTGTGCTGCCTGCCCTCCCCCTCCCTCCCCCCCCCCACTCTCCATTCCCTGCTGCTTGTCCTGACCGCCCCTCTACCAGTCTGCTCCTGCTACCACCTCTTTGTCCCTAAACCGCCAGTCCATCTGCGCTAACCCTTCCCTGTGCTGCTATCCACCCCCCTTCTGCAGGTCATGGTGTTTGTTTTTGCCGGCCTGCTTCGCCAGCCCCAGATGGATGCTGTTCGTGCCTACCTTGGCTGGTACCTCCTGTGCTCCCAGCCACAGGGGCACACTGAGCGGTCCCTCCGGGAGCTGAAGAAGATGACCTCCCGGTACTAATACCATGCATGTAAACCACAGTGCATGGGATGATTGCTTGGCTACTGTAAATGTGCTCTTGTAGTAGGCAATCTGTAAACGTTGCTGCGGAACAAGTATAGGATAGGTTTAGGACCAGCCGTACAATATGAATAAGTAGACTCTGATGTGATTGCATGTGTTGTCATCTCCCACTCCCACCAGGCTCGTTGAGCAGTTGCAGGCTGCCTTCCCCAAGCAGCCATCCTCTTGGTGCCTTGTGAAAACACATATCATGTCGCACTACGTCGACTCTATTCGTCGCGCGGGTCATGTGACCGAATTCAGAACCAACATGTTTGAGCACTTGCACGGACCGTTGGTAAAGAGGATCTACCGTCGGTCCAACAAGCGCAATGTAGATGGGCAGATCATGAAGTTCCATGCTAGGCGCATTCCGGATGTGGTGCCGGTGGATGATCCTGCTGGCCGGGACACCGCCATGCGGCAGGTAAATCTGTTTAGTGCTTGAATTGCATGGATATGAATGCAGAGTGTAATAATAACAAAGCATATGTTAGCAGGCAATTGAGACCGACACACGGACACTTATCAAGGAGTCATACTACATCCCTGTGGAGTTACCAGAAACCCCCACCTCCACCAACTGGTTTGCAAGGAAGTGGGCCAAGCAACACCCTGTTGCCCAAGCTGCCCTCAAGGATGCGCTTATCCGCTATGCAGGATGCGTCACCAAGGTTCAAGTAAGTCCGGTACTAGTTGATGGCTTATGCAATCAATCGTCATTTGGCTGGCTTGTATTATACATGACTAACATCCACTGTTGTGCAGGCCCATGCTTCGCTGGCAATCCCTGCAGCAGACGACGCCAGCTTCTCAAGAGTTTCTCACTTCGTTCGAGCGACCCCTGACTATTTTGAGAGGCCGTGGTACTCGGATGTTGCAGTAGAGGGTGTAAGGCATGGTCAGAGAGAGGAGTGGTATGCAAGGTTGCTTCTGTTGTTCCATACAAAAATACGTGGAGAGAGGGAGGAGCTGGCTTACGTTAGATATTGGAATGCAAGCGGAGAGGATGCTGCAACCGGATGCCTTCGCCTCAAGTGGACAACCGGAATGTACGCATACTCTGTGATTCCGATGGAAGCGCTGCTCCGCCACGTCCATGTGGTGAAGGCATTCCATCTGGACAGTACCTATCTCCTTAATAAGTATCAGATGTGATGCATTTATATTGTAATAAAATGGCCAGTTAAGTTATCCAGCACTCACAACTTACATAAGTCAAAACAAAAATAACCAATTACAAATTGATCCCAAATTTGGCACGATCCAAATAAACATCAATGTACCGGAGTCGCGGATTCGACTCCGACAAATAAACGCGGTCCGAATTCATTCCGTGATTGGTCGCGATTTTGTTTCGGAAGCTCGCCAACCAAAACACATGAACTGTACCCCCCTCCGAACCCCCTTCAAAAACCAAGGTTTATTGTGATGCACGAAACAATGAAGTAGAGAGGCCTAAATAGGGGAAAACCTAGCTAGGCGGGGAGGTGGGGAAAGGTTGGCTCGCGAAGTGTCGCGATTGGTGCGGAGGCGGCTCGGTGAGGTTTGGATGCGAAATTGTAGGCCGAACCAGTTGGTCGCGTGGCCCTCGGGATGGCCTCGCTAACGAGTGCCTCAGTAAGGATTTCATAAATCCTTACACTCTCCCACCTCCTAAATAAGGGAGTTCTGTACTGAAAGGAGAGTAGCGAAGATGCCGTTGATCTTCACTTCAGCTGAATCCGACGGCTGAAATGCCTCAGGTAATATTTTGAAAAGGTTGGAATGTAGGCCGTTGATGCTGTCAGATTTCGATCTGACGGTCGAAGATGAAGTGGCCCAAATGTAAACTGAGAAAGTTGGAATGTGGGCCGTTGATCGAGCAGATGTAGATCTGACGATCGAAACTTGTCTTGACCAATTCGAATTAGAGGTTGGAATTAGGACCGCTGATGCATTTCAATGTCGATCTGACGGTTGACGATGACGCGAATGTGGAGGGAAGCTGCTGGCGCGAAATTCAATCGCGATGTAGCAGAGGCAGTTGATCTTGTCCGTGTGATCACGATCGTCCTTCATGATGACGTATTATGAAAAAGTCAGAGAAGTGCCGAAGAAAACGCCAAGGGAAAAATAGTGTGCAGCACACTTTCTCCCCCCTCCCAGAAAACCGTCCGTAAAACATTGCACTGCTGCGCCGAGAAGAAAACCACAAAAACTGGGTGTTAAGTCCCACTGTTAACGACTGTTGAGTGAAGGAGTCCAGGTGAAATTGCGTCGGGTGTGGAAATGTCGATGTCGAAAACCAGGTATTACGTGCCCAAAATCTTCGGGGGATAACCAGAAGAATTAGATCGGAAACCGAAACCGACATTGCCGAGTACTCGAACTGAAGCTTTTTGTCTTCACGTCGCCAGAATCATGCACTATCTGCAGCAGTTGCAGCTGGCAGCACCTGACGTGGCTGAAATTAAATCTGTTTGTCGTGGGCGGGTTGATAGCGAGTTGTCAAAAGCAGAGTTGGAATGGATTCTCCGAGATTTTTATCGTAATCCGCCGAGAGTTCGTAGGCAGGGATGAAAATTTGCAGCTGTCTCTCCCCCCGTTACTGTTGCTGCCGCCTTCTTCAGTTCGTCGTAAGTCGTTCGTACCCCTGAGAAATTTTGTGTAGTTCTCGCGCTAGTGCCCCACGTAAATGTCGCACGTGTTTAACCAAACGCCGATGAAATCCCTCGAAAATGTCGGCGCTTCCCGCCGTAAAACCGATAAGTCCTTCGTCGAACTCCGAAATTGCCGCTCGAAAACAACCCCGTAAAATCCGCAGTTGCAGGTGCAGTTCGCCTCCGAAATCTTCGGTCGTACTATAGCCGCCCACTCGGTCACCATCAGTTTCCGTCGGTTACCCGACCCCAGCATGTGGGTTCAATCGAGAACCGTGACTGCCCTGGGTTATTCCGAGACCTAATCTCACGAAACCTAGTGGCATCAACGCCGTTGACCCCGTCGTCTAAGCTGCTCCCGTCGGTAAATTTTGACTGAAAAACACGCAACCCCCACTGGCGCTTTGCAGAGGTTTCACTTCATCGCTCTTCGCCGGCAGGTAATTCCGAAACTTCGGCTGCTCCCCCGCTCCCTTTTAATGAAGAATTTCCCGCGGTGTACGTTTAAACACCCGTGGGTTCTAGGCATCCCCGCCACTGTGTTTCTTGCCAGGCGACTTAAAAGTGACCCTTCAGACGAAGTCCCCCAACGGCTCAACCGCACTCCAAGAAGTGAAGGAACACCCTCAGCTCCAACCATTTTTTTTTTTTTTTCGTAGGAAGATAACCCGAAAGTTGTGGTTGAGGCTGCAGTCCCGAAGTTATTCTCCGCCGTGTAGCTCCGACATTTCCACCGTTTTTTCCCTGGTACTCCGATGTTCACCCATCTTCATACCCGTCGGAACCACTTAGCGAATCCCAGGTATCCTTGGCAATGTACCGCTCGCCGCGCCTCCATGTAACGATATCAAACCCTTTCGGGGGTCTACCGAATAGACTCCGAAATTCGCGGTGGATTGGTACACGTTCTCAACCTATCACTCAAGTGATCTGCTGGATCACCCACAACTTTCCCTCCGTCGTCATTTTTGTTTTTCGTATTCACCCCCTGACAATAAGCCAAGACTGAAATTGTAACTCTATGACGACTGTTAAATCACCTAGTCGTCTGCCCAAGTGGCGTCTGAGTGACCAGTGAGTATAATTGAACCCCATCCTCCAAGCAGGAGCCCCATGCCTGATGTACTGCACAGGTAATGCAGCACCCCCCTAGCAGCCCGTTAGTGCTCTGGCCAGTGTCTCCCGAGCGCAACGTAGCATGCCAGGATCCTGAGAGGGTACGCGAGGTCAGGTCGAGTGCAGGTCATCAGGTACATGAGGTAGCCCACAAGCTCTGGATACTGACCACTCGGCTCTACAGACCCGTCCGAAGGTGGAGTTGAGAGCGAGTGGTCTGTAGGCAGAGGAGTGGACAGTGGCGAGGAAAATTGGAAGCCAAAGCGCTGAAGGACATGGTGCACCATGTGTGACTGAGTCAGCGTGATGGTGCGCCGTGCTCTGTCCCGGGTGATCTGCAAGCCAAGATAGCTGCACAGCTCACCCAGGACAGTGCATGTGTGTCTCTTCTGCAGCTTCGACTTCACAAGGGCCAGTGCCTCAGTGTCAGCAGTAGCAAAGACCAAGTCGTCGACGTACGCGAGGATGTAGAACGGCGGCAGTGAAGTGTCGGTGTGTAGAAACAGAGACGGTCAGCAGTCAAAGGAGCAAACTCAGGAGCCGCAAGCGTCGTCCTCAGTGTGTCGTGCCACTCACGAGGCGCCTGATGGAGACCGTAGACTGGCCGCTGGAGGCTCCACTGGGTACCCTCAGGAAACGACCTAGTGAAGCCAGGTGGGCGGCGCAGCCAGATCTCCTCGTATAGGTTGCCCTGCAAGAAAGCTCTATTGAAGTTAGGCGTGTGGAGCTCATAGTCACGCTGTTTCGCAATGTGCAGTAACACTTGAAGAATGGTCATCTTCGAGGTGGGGGAGAAGGTCTGG